TGACATTCTGAGTTAAGGTGTAATTTTTAACGCGACATAAGCGTTTTTGATGGTAAAAAGTAATTTTTCTTTTCTTTCGAAAATTTCTACTCTTTTATCGAGCTTTATTCTTATGAATCTATCGGTAAGTGATTTTGATGGGTTTGATGCTTTATACGAATCCGATAATAGTTTTTGCATATTTTCAAAAATTTTATATTTTTGGAGTGACAAAACTGAAAAACGACGTTCGGGGCAAAGTCGACACCACGCCGTTTTATCGACTTCCAATAACAAATGATGCTTGTCATATGCAGCTATATGGCCCATGACAAATGTGTGCGCACGTCTAATCGCGAATTTACTTGCATAAATTGTTTTTCAGACATGAGTTTAGATGAGAATAATTAAATGTTCAACAATTTTTGTTTTCATTATTTCCAATGATTGTTTTACTTAATTCCGAATTTTTGTACTTTTTAAAAATACACGATAAACAATGTATGTTTAGTTTCAGACAATAAAAAATAAGTTCCAGATCAAATTGTGTCGATCAGGCAAAGTGTCGAGTTTGCCCCGGCATTTTTCGATTTGAAAATTTGTCTTTGCGTCACTTTTCCTTTTCTGAGGGCAAAACTAACCGACGTACAGCAAAACTTCCTTAAGCAATTTTGTATCTAAAGGAACACTCTTTAAATGTGTATGTACCATTAAATTTGCTTAAAAATTTTAATTAATTGTTGAAAATTGCCTTTGAAAAAATCGTGTCGAGTTTGCCCCAATCTCCCCTAAATCAAATTTATAAAAAAAAATCTTAAAGTTATCATTACAAGATTTTTGAATACTACAAAGATGTTTTATATAGATTATATAGAAGTATAAGCAAGAAGGAGACGTCAGAGCCAGAGGAGCGCTACTAATTTGTTCGATCATCGATGTCAAGCAACGTTGAGCGCGACTGCTGCTTGGATAGGTGACCGCTCTAGAGAAAATGGATATATTCAAAAGATATGCAGAAATTTGTATATCTTTTTGTATATTCGGTCTGTATAGTATTTTGACTTCATCCGTATATAGAGATTCAATATTATGCTGTGTATACAGAATACACATGACTGAATATATACCTATATTAAATCTCTATATACGGATAAAGCCAAAATACTACATAGACTGAATATACAAGATATACAAAATACCTTTGAATATACTTTTTCTCTAGAGATAACCATATATAATGTCTGTGAAGTTGGCATATCATTTTCCAGGAGATCGATAATAAAAGGGAATTCTTGTCGCAGGCAGTCGAGTTCTGTAGTTCCTGATACTTTTTAGTAATAGTTCTGGTGATTTTAAAACAGTCGATTGAAAAAATGATCTGCTAACTTCCCATAGCAGATCAAGAATAAAAGAGAGTTCTTCTCGCATACAGTCGAGTTCTATAGTTTCTGATACTTTTTAACGATAGTTAAACGATTCTGGTAATTTTGCCAAAAAAAAGTCCATTGAAAAAATTATCTGCTAGTTTTCCGTAGCATAGAGTGATATGCTGTACGAAATGTCGCAGTTCCGATTTATCTAAAATATTTTTAGAATAGTTCTGAACATACTGAAGCATTTTCTAAAAAATTTCCGGCACTAGTAATGTTGTATGATTTTTTTATAAATTAATACCGCCCGAAAGCCGAGTACTTAGAGACAATACAGTGATATGCTGTACGAAATGTTGCAGTTCCGGTTTATCTAAAATATTTTGATAGTAGTTCTGAACATACTGAAGCATTTTCTAAAAAGTTCCCGGCACTAGCAATGTTGTATGATTTTTTAATAAATTTATATCGCCCGAGCGTCGCGTACTTAAAGAGAATAGAGTGATATGCTGTACGAAATGTCGCAGTTCGGGTTTATCTGAAATATTTTTCGAATAGTTCTGAGCATACTGAAGCATTTTCTAAAAAGTTCCCGGCACTAGTAATGTTTGGGTATATCATGGGCACATCAATAACGTACCGTTGAGGTAATTACATGCATATTAAGACCCCACTCGCCAATGACCTTGACCTTTTTTTACGGGGGGGAAATCCACACGGATACCCCCTCCCCCGGGGAGGGCGGTTATGTGGGACTTTAACCCACTAAAAACCCCCTCGAATGTCCCTCACGGCGCTTTTTGACATCTTAAGATTGTACTTAAGATGGTCTTAAATATAAGAACCGACTAGGAATACCGGCCATAGGGTGCGTTCCACTTATCGCTCGCAGCGCTCATGGAATCATTTCATCCTTGTTGTTTGTCAAATGTTAAACAAACGGACGAAATGATGCTCGCGGACGTTGTGGGCGATAAGTGCAGTGGAACGCAGCCATAGTGTGCCTTCAAACTACATCCGTGGGCTTTCCACGTGTGAAAAGTTGTAAATATTTTTCAAACTTTTTTTGCTAATAACTTTTTAATAAAAAACGGCCGCCGCGGCTAAAACCTTCTGAAGGTCACTCAAGAGGGTGACCTTGACAATATATGTCAAGGTCAAGGTCATTGGCGAGTGGGGTCTTAATATGCATAATTACCGCATCAACGATATTGTTGGCAACATGACAGCAAACTCACAGCTATATGAATACCGACCATAGAGTACCTCTATGAAGTTGGCCGGACAACTTCAACGTATCGAACTTTCAT